CAGGGGAAACATGTGTAGTTAATTGTATTATAGTTTCAAATGTATTTACATGGTTTATGAGGTTATCTGGAGTACCGAGGTGGTTGCCTGGGGCAGAGGGACCGTAAGAGAATTTTACTGTCTTGATTGATGGATGGATATCTGAAAAGATGGCTGCCAGACAGTTTTTCGCTCTTACACTCCATAGAGATTTCTTCATATGTCATAGTAATGTATTTACACTTCATAAACAGTTATTTCATAGAAAGGTATTTACACTCTAGAGAAGAATGTTTTTGGTTTATGGTTAAAGATACTCAATAAGATAAATTGTTACTGGTCATAATCCTATTGTTGTCGAGACTTTTTAGTTTTGTCTCGAAGGGGGGAATATGTAGTATATTAAAATTATGTCTTTGTTAAAGGTTTTTCATGAAGAAATGGAAGGTTGATTATTGCTATCAAGAGGGAAGGTTTTAGCGTGACGTCACATATGACAGACAGGAAGTAGGTGGTAAGATACGGGGATTGAACAGTAGAGGGAGCTATTCAACTCTTGGAAGGCTATATAAAGGGGGGAGCGGTGACGAAGAGTTAGAATACAGCAAGATTTATTTGGGGTCTGGTTCTCCGGATATTGTGTCCGTACTTACGCTGGAACCTCGTGGTTTGAATAAAGGCCTTTGAACACGATCCAGCCTAAGCAGACTCCTTGATTGACGATAACACCTACGAATAACCTACACTACAGGGTCAAATACTTATTTCCCTCATTAAAATGCAAATCAATTTATAACATTTTTGATATGCGTTTTTTTGGATTTTGTTGTTGTTATTCTGTCTCTCACTGTTCAAATAAACCTACCATTAAAATTATAGACTGATAATTTCATTGTCAGTGGGCAAACGTACAAAATCAGCAGGGGATCAAATACTTTTTTCCCTCACTGCATGTGAGAACGCTGTTCATTGACTACAGCTCTGCATTCAACACCATAGTGCCCTCCAAGCTCATCACTAAGCTAAGGAAACTGGGACTGAACACCTACCTTCTGCAACTGGATCCTGGACTTTCTGACGGGCAACCCCCAGGTGGTGAGGGTAAATAATAACACATCTGCCATGCTGACCCTCAAAACAGGGGCCCCTCAGGGGTGCGTGCTTAGTCCCCTCCTGTACTCCATGCTCACCCACGACTGCGAAGCCACGCACAACATCAATACCATCATTACGTTTGCTGACGACACAACGGTGGACGGCCTGATCTCCGACGACGATGAGACAGCCTATAGGGAGGAGGTGAGAGACCTGGCAGTGTGGTGCCAGGACAACAACCTCTCCCTCAACGTCAGCAAGACAAAGGAGCTGATCGTGGACTACAGGAAACGGAGGGCTGAGCACGCCCCCATTGACAGGGCTGTTGTGGAGTGGGTTGAGAGCTTCAAGTGCCTCTGTGTCCATATCACTAAGGATCTATCATGTTCCACACACACCAACACAGCCGTGAAGAGGGCACGACAATGCCTCTTCCCCCTCACGAGGCTGAAAAGATTTGGCATGGGCCCTCAGATCCTCAAAGTTCTACAACTGCACCACTGAGAGCATATTGACTGGCTACATCACCGTTTGGTATGGCAACTGCTTGACATCCAGCCACAAGGCTCTACAGAGGGTAGTGCGTACGGCCCAGTACATCACTGGGGCTGAGCTCCCTGCCATCCAGGACCACTATACCAGGCGGTGTCAGAGGAAGGCCCTAGAAATTGTCAAAGACTGCAGCCACCTAAGTCATAGACTGTTCTCTCTGCTAGCGCATGGCAAGCGGTACCGATGCACCAAGCTTCTACCCCCAAGCTACCCAGACTATCTGCATATCTGCTTATTCTGGTGACATGATGATCAATGCTTGGCTGCCGTTTGACAAATAAAAAATATTCTCACTATTTTGTCCATAATAATCTAATCATTTAGGCCAGGGTTGCCCAACCCTGTTCCTGGAGAGCTACCGTCCTGTAGGTTTCCGCTCCAACCCCAGGTGTTACTAACCTGATTCATCTTTTCAACCTGCTAATTATTAGAATCATGTGTGCTAGATTAGGGTTGGAGCAAAAACCTAAAGGACGGTAGCTCTCCAGGAACAGGGTTGGGCCGTCCTGATTTAGGCTATAGGCCTACCTGCACTGTAGGCTATCTACTGCAAGCTGTTGGCTAGGGCGCACGTGGCAATACCAGAGTGGGCACATTCGCTATATAATGCAACATTTTTTGTGATAAAACCATCAGTAGAGTTGGAAATGCGATGGAAACCCATTTAACTAGTATTTTTTTATTCGGTACATGGGAATTTAACCGCTAAAGTTGTTTTTATATGCACCACGTCATCACGCACAGCCTTTTATCCGCAAGTCAATTTGATGGAAACATCTCTGGTGGGAAAATGCGCATATTGTTTTACTGAGGATTTTAAAATATTCGCATTAAAATCTATCGGCAATTGGATGGAAACCTAGCTTATCAGAGGCTTTCTTTTAGAGTCATTTTAAATTAGCTGTATTTGTAAACATATATGAGAGCAGGTTGGTGTGTGTGTGTGTTGAGGAGCAGTGTCCAAGCTCATGTACACCTGACTGCCGAGCATCTCTCCCTTCCCGGCACCATCAACTCACCAATCACAGCTCAGCGCTACCCAGGGACCGCAGTATGGCCGCACATGTGACAGCCGTGTGTGATCAAGATAATAGGAAGCTGTAAATATGACTTGTCTGCTGGCTTTTAATTTGTGTCAGTCTATTATGTGCTTCTACCTTTATCTTCTCTTCTCCATTTGGACAATATGGATCAGCCTGAGATGTTTGTTAAACTCAACAGCTTTGACTTAAATCTACACCAGTTCTTTAAACCTTGATCCCAGTTTATTAAACATCATTGCACCGGGATCTTTGACCCAGTGCCCAATTCTTTGTTGTCCATAAACTATATAGACTGGACTATGAAGTGATAATATTTTATTATAACTATCTACCAGGATATTTTAGCCAAAAACCTGGTTACTTCTGCCAGGAGGCTAAAACTTCGCCACAAGTGGATCTTCCAGCAAGACAAGAACCCCAAGCACACATCCATCTCAGTCTCTAGACATGAACCTCATTGAAAACCTGTAGTTTGAATTGAAGGGGGCAGTCCATAAGTGCAGTAGAAGGATATCAAGGCTCTGGAAAGATAATGTATGGAGGAATGGTCTAAGATCCCTCCCAATGTGTTCTCCAATCTCTTAAAATGTTTTAGAAAAAGTCTCAGTGCTGTTATCCTCGCAACAGGAGGGTGCCGGAGTATTGAAAACAGGGGTGCCAATCATTTTAACCCCCATCTTTTTGAGAGAATAACAATATTGCTTGTTAAACAAAATCTCCTTCTCTAAGCAATTGTATTACTATAAAATAGTATAATTTCCAACTTTTTTTTAGCAATACAATTTAGCTCAGGGTTTGTATTATTTACATTATTGTATTATCGTATTATTCTTGTGCTTCTGCTTGTGCATCCAAACAACCTCCAGAATATAAATATAAGAAAGATAAAAAGATCATGGCCTTTGGAGTGCACTGATTGTTGAGGGATCTGTGTGTGTGTGTTTATTTATGTATGTGAGAAGCAGAGAGAACATCCATAGCGGTGTGTCTCTCCTTGTGACCAGCAGGGCCTGACCAGCAGGCGGACTGTAGCAACTCTCCCTGTTATATTAGTGTTCCCGCCGACAGAGTTGTTGTGGTTGTGGCAGAACTTGATCCCAGCATATAAATTTCACCGCAACATGCACTCTAATCTACTCACTCTAGAGGAACCAAGCAGATCAAATACTTTATTAATACGTGTATATAATGTATGCCAACATTTATAGACAAAATATGTACATCAAACATCTTTCTGGTAGGTCCCAAAATATCAAAGTACCTCTTTCTATAGAAAACTAATCTTCTGTTAAAACGTATACATTCACTTCTCGCCAACTCCTTAGACTCCTGTATCCATACAAATACATTTAATAAACATCTGATGTTTTCTTTTATCAGCTTTTCACAAGTAAAAGGCAACAGCATGAACAAACTCCAGGTTTGACTTGAGCAGAAACAGATTGCAGATCAGGGTCAGCTCAGGGCTACAGTATGCACATGATTTCTGAGTTATTGTGCGGTAAAACGACTGTCCACACTCTACTACCTTTCTCTCTGGTTCGAGCGCTAGGACACGTATCAAAAATAGAGATGTACAAGAAGTATAAACAATAATTACAAAGAGTCCTCTCAACTGTCAGTGAATTCCCAGCTTGACATGGTCACATGATGACCTCACTAACTCCATACAGTAGGGAAATTATTTCACTCAGTGTGCTTGTTGTTGTCATAGGGAATAGGGCAAAGCTCATTGTCAGTGATGGCAATGGTGACCTAAGGTAAATAGACAGCAACCTTTGGGTGAATGGTGACTGTTGACATTTGGTGTGACATGGTTTACAAGGACGGTGTGTGTATCTATGGCAGCAGCTACAGCTGAGACCTGTCAGTGTCCACAGCATGTAGAAACCTCAACAGCAGCAGCATCTACGGGATTGCCACTTTTTTACATTTATACATTCAACCGTGTGTGTGTGTGTGTCCAGATCAATGGGGTCAATGTTGCACTCAGCACTCTGGTGGGGGTATAAAGTCAAACATTCAGAGAGGGTTGAGGGTCAGGTAACAGGTTGAGCTGTCTTCCTTCCACACCTTCCCTCTTTCGTCTCTTCTCTTTTTCTGTTCGCAGCTGTGGCTGTGGATTATGCATAACTGGTCCAGGACCAGACCTTCTGCGTTCTCTCTGTCTGTCTCCCTTCTGTCTTCTGACATCTGGGGTGAGGGACGAGGGGAGAGGGGTGGTGGTGGTGGGTGATCTGACTGTCCGGTCATGTTCTCCTCCATGCACCCTCTCGGCATAGCAGTCTCTATGTCCAATAACACTGTTCTGTGTAAGTGTTCAGTGGTCTCTCAGTCTTTGGTTTCCAGGTTCATGGGAAGTACCTGCTTTAACGCTTGGAGGAAGGCTGGGGAGTCCATGGGGCTTTGGGCCACGGTGGGGGGAGAGGGAGAGCGCCCCCTGGGGGACATCATGATCGAGGGAGAGGGGGCATGCCTGTCACTGGGCATGCCCTGCGCGGAGCCCCCCAGGCCAGGGTAGATCATGGGCATGGCCCCTGAGTACCAGCACTTCTCCAGCATGGGCAGGTAGGCGGCGGCGGAGGGGGGGATGAGGTAGAAGGGCATGCAGAGGGGATGAGGTTGGGCCTGATGAGGGGAGTAGGCGCTCATGTAGCTGCCATGGCCGCTGGAGGAGGATGAGGATGACTCTCCGCCTGAGAGAGACTCGTCCTCGGATGACTCGACCCGGCTGCGTTTGAGGCACAGCTCATCTTCCTGCTTAATGCCAAATGACGGCCTCTTTTCGCCCAGCGCCCTCTTCAGCTGTCTCTCCTGGCCGTAGTACCCTGCATGCGACGCCAGATGCTCAACATGCTCGCCACCATAGCCGCTGTCTGTGTCTGTATCGCTGCCGCTCTGCTCGCCGCCCGTATGGGCATACCTTCGCTGGATGACGGGAACGCAGTTCTTCCCGTGGCCCTCGCTGGGCTTGGGGGGCTGGCCTGCAGGCTTCTCCCTATGGGCCTGATGGTGTTGGTGGTAGCTGGTGGTCTCTTCGGGCTGGGGTTCGCAGGGGCTACGGGAAGGACCCTGGAGGACCTCAGCGGCCACCTTGTGGAGGTGTTTGATCATGTGGGAGGGTGTAAGGTCTCCGTCACTCTCCTGGTTGACCAGGTACTGCAGCACCTCCTTGGCACAGACATGGAAGCCTGAGCGGAAGATCTCTTCACTGTTCTCCTGGCTGGGAGAGGACTGCTCTGTAGACAGGAATGAACAACACCACAAATGCTGTCAAACACAGATCTACCACAATGCATTATTATGGAAACTACCAAACTACTTTCATCATATATGGGGACATTCTCGTCAGTAATATATCTTATTATGGGTATAAATTCCCCTTCTATGCAACCACATCCATTCTAAACTTTGCAGTTATTCTGACTCAGTTCCTTATTCTATTATTATGTTATTATAATGCAGTAGATGAGCAATGCACTGTGCTGCGTTTGAGAATTAGTGAAGATGTGGTCTGCATCCAAATTTAAACTAGCCAAAGCAAGAGACCACAAGCTATATTTAAATTAAGTGATTTGCATGCGCTTCTGCATAATCATCTTATTGTGTGTGTGTGTGTTTGCTCACCGATTTGCATGCCATTCTGCAGAGCCAGGATTTTCTGCTGCTGGTTTTCCAGTAGAGTGGTTAGAGCTTTCACATGCTTGAGCGTGAGCTCCAAAACCACAGCCTTCTCCAGATGGCCAAGAGTCTATGGGATAGAACATTCTACTGTCAGCAGGGGGTCACATCTTATGTAACACACACACACCCGCACACAAACTTCCTCAACAACAACAACAATCAACAGCAATAACTAACTAGATCTACTCAAATACAAAAGTGTAATGTGTAATATTATATTCTTTAATCATAAAAAATACTAATCTGAGGAAATGCGTTCAATTTTTGTTAACATCTCAAAAATGCCATTTGTTTAAGTATTCACTTTCATTCACTTAAAATTCCTTTCCAGATATCACCTGTTAGTCAGGCTGTCACCATAACCTGATGTACCACCAAGCTAACACTTGATGGCGCCTTAGCCAACATCTACAAGCAGAGAAATGTTGCCTAATACTGTGCAACTTCCAGATAAATAGGAACTTACTGTAAGTTTCAGGTGCTCGGGCAATAAATCTTTCAACTGAGCGATGCACTCGTTTATCCTGTCACGCCTTTTCTTCTCGATAAGTCGATGAGGCAGTTTGTAGGTTTCCTAAAGGCAGTTGTGAGAAAGTAGGTTAGGTGGAGTCATATTGGGGTTATATAACACCCTCAGCAGTTTGACAAGCAGCACGGTGAACAGTAACATCGACTCCAAGGATTACGTCATATGGGAAAATAGGTCACCACATTATCTGAATGATCAGGCCAATTAATTCATCTAAATAAAACAATGTTTCAATAACATTGTATATAATCATAACATTCTTATATTGTAATATTTACAAATTCAAGAGTATTATTTCACAACAGTCAATTAAGTGAACAAACACCAATATTGTTTCTATAAAAAAATATATAAAATATCAACCAACCTTGCTATCATCTCCTCGTTTCATTCCCCGACGGGATTTGTATACATACATAGGGAAATCCATCCTAAAGAAAACCAGAAGAGAGTCAATGAGATGTGGGTTAGGTGAGGTTGTGCACTCCATGTCAGGAGAAGCGAATGTATGCCACTATGAAGAGGCACAGAGCAAGCATGGCATACGGCACAAGGAGAATTATCAGCAACTTACCCTTGCATGTCAGACAACTCAGCCTGCTGGTGCTTGGGGGTGGGTTGCGCACTTGGAATCCTTTCCATTTCCATTATCTTTAGGCTACTCCAAATGACGCAGGAAAGGGCAAGCTTGTTTTTCCAATGTTTTCACTCAAGAATGCATATGAAATTGAATGAAAGTAAATAGTCCTTGAAATTTTTCACCAAAATATTTCAGTATTTCCACCAATTTGTAGGGATAAGTAATCTCTTTTATATTTGCATTGTTGTTGTTATTATTATTTATCGGTTAATGGGAGCAGTGTCCCGGAGATCTCCACGTAGTCAGTCAGTCAAGAGGGAGTCCCGCAGATGCACTAGTCTTGGTTGCGCGTTGGGAAAGTAGGGGAGGACAGAGCTACGTGTTAAATAAACCCCTGACTCTCGCTAGCAGTGACCTACCTCTGTCACATGAGTCTCACGTTTTGGACGGCGCTGTGTTCTCGGACTGCCCATATTCTACCGATAATGAGGATCTAGGGGCGGTCGTCGGTGCCACGTCACACAGGAGGGCTGAATCCCGGGTCCCGTGTACCTGGCGAATATAGCCAGGCTAGTGGCTACACACAACACAGACTTACGCATCTCTCCAGAAATGCTCTGCAGGCTCCACAAGACATCATGGCAATAATAATAATATTTATATGGGAATAACTTTGCAAATATTGGGTTTAAACGTGATAATATCTTATCCCAATCCATTTATGTATGCTATATACTCATCCACCTGTTGCATCATACACAACATCATTTAGCCATAACTTTATGCTACTTCATGTAATTCACAAATACAATGCATTATTATATGATCATACTCTAACTTTTACCTCTTCACTGTGAGAAGTTAATATACCTATGTTATAGGGTTTTATAATAGGGGGCTTGCCATTTACCTTGTGGATGTCTTAACATTGTGCTATCCTTAAAAATAGTAAGGAATGGCTATATTAAGTTATTTCACAATATAAACGCATTGGTTGAGAAAATGAATTGAAAATGCAAGATAGGCCCTATCATTGAAAGGGAATGTGCATAAAAACTGTGCGTAAAAGCGCAGGTGATGCCCACAATGTCAAATGTTGGAAATGTAGGCTAGCCCTTTTATTAATGGTTAACTTGGAATGAATCCATAGATTCATAGGCCTACAATTTTAACATTATAATTCAATGTAATAGTCTACATATCTTTATTAAATTCAAGCGTGCAATATAATTGATATTTTTTAAAAATCTTATTTTGCATTAGCACCCTGTTGAAAAAAAGTGCACCTGCTTGAGACATTTATTTTTATTAGAGATATCATTGCTTAGAGACAACCTGACTAATTGCTTTGGTTTCAACAAGTGTGAAGGGCCATAATGTTATTTTGCGCCATCAGAACCATCTGCTAGTTCAGGTGCATGGTCGACACGCAATGTGTCTGAAGATGGGCTGCTTTGTTGTCGCGTGTGCCACACCCGTTGTCACATTGATCTCATGGCTTCACCGGCCCCTGTCACCGGCCCCTGCTGTGCGCTGAGGCCACATCCAGCACATGGCTACCGCTTACAACTAATTTGCTGTAGGCTAGCTACTCCACTAGTAGCGTGTTACCTAGCTGGCTAAAAACAGCAAGCAAGCTAGTCTTTTAGCTTCCCACATCTCCCCCATGTGAAATAATCAGATTTATAATTAAATAATGTGCCCTGGCAAATAATATTTACTTGCCAGCAGTTTCGTAGGCCTAGTACTCGAGACAAGTCCGGGCTCGAGACCACATTTTGAGTGTCTCTGTCAGTGTTGCCATGTTTGCAGTTTTCCTGCTTCATTGGGCTACTTTGAAAACGATGTCGCGGGTGGAAATGTATTTGCAGCAGCTTGTGTTTTTTTTGTTGGCTATTTCTTAGTCGCACGGCGGCCGCCATGGCATTTCTCTTTAAAACTAAATATTTCACTGTGACCTTGTGTGTGTGTGTGTGTGTGTGTGTGTTGAGAGAGCACTACAGTTATTGGCTGAGTCACGTGAGCGAGAGGAGCGAGAGAGAGAGATAGAGAGAGCGAGATAGAGCGAGGGAGAGAGAGAGAGCAGCACGCGTACACGTTGTGACAACTTTTTACCAGTTGTAGGGAGGCTATTTAGATTGTCATTATGGAGACACCTATTTCCAACCCCTTTTCCATAAAACATAATAATATGCTAGAACTGATGCACATCAATAAATAATGGAGACAAAGCACTGGAAAACGACTTTTGGCGCACTAGAGCACATTACATAAATTCGCTCGGAGGTGGTTTAAACAGCATGCTAATGTTGACTGCTTATAGACGGTATCAAGCGGTATCAAGCGAAGGGCTTTATGCATGCTCAGTTCTTGCGTCTCGGGGGCTGCCCGAGCGTAAATTTGAAATGGAAGTTATGGAACTCCCTCACGTGGTTATTTTTACGGGGAAAAGTCCTCAATGAAACTGACATAAGGCTAAATGTGGAGAATTATACATTTGCCATCAAGTAGCCTATTAATGTATATGCCATTGTAGGCTACCATTTGATACAATAAATATGCTCAAATGACTATATCACTGGAGTCATTGCAAATCAATTTGTGCCACTTGTGTAGCCTACCTGGAGCTGGCAAACCAATTTAATAAATAGCCTATGACTTCAGTTTGTTGTTGTAGCCTTGTGTTATTATGAACACATTAGATTTATGGTAACAGTAGTCAGATTAGGCTACAGGTAAAACAAATTATTTAAAAAATATACACTGGCTGTCGTTGAATAATCATAATAATGGAATGGTATCAAACACATGGAAACCATGTCTTTGATGTGTTTGATACATTTACATTTTAGTCATTTAGCATACGCTCTGGATTTGATTTACAGTTAGTTAGTGCATACATTTTTCATACTGTCCCCGCGTGGGACTCGAACCCACAACCCTGGCATTGCAAGCACCATGCTCTACCAACTGAGCTACAGGAGACCTGTAGCATTCCATTGACTCCATTCCAGCCATTATTATGAGCCGTCTTCCACTCAGCAGCCTCCACTGCTTATGACATAATAAAGGAATTTGAATATGTGGCAAGAGAAAAGATAATTCAGCCTTATTAAACTCGCCAGATCATTATCCATCAATGGATGTCGATTTAACTCGTTTGACTGCTATGATTAAGCAATGTCATAGCTTGCAATAATTATTATTTTGAGGAAACCTGAATTTAGCTTCTAACATCATTACAAGTTACTATGATATTCCTTCTTAATTGGGTCAAAAACGTTATGGAAAAAGGGTTTATTGTATAGATATAGCAACTCCTCTCTTGCTAGTTTTCAGGCCTTTTGGGCAAGTTTTGTGTGGTCATTGGGCTAGAAATGTTAGCTTGACCTGGCAACCCTGTCCTTGGCAACCCATTTTTACTCGCTCTTGGAGACTAGGTCTCTGTCATTTCTCTGTCATTTCTTCCCGAGATAGCCGAGACCAGCGGAGTAAAAACCTCATAATTATCAGCTCCCATTCAGTCAGTGCATAAAACGGCTTTACCAGGCCAAATATCCACACTCTTTCATGATACATTAATATCTTATCGCCCATCGAAACCTGGGCGGGCTTCCAACCTTACTCATAACATTACTGTCCTTTACTTTAGTAGAAAAAATATCCTCATACTTTGTCGCGCTAAGGGCCGGGTTAATGCAGGAGGGCCGGATTAATGCAGGGGTTTACCGGGGCTGCCCAAGAGGCAGCACAAGACAAATGTATATAAAAAAAGAAGTATATATATATATATATATATATATATATATATATATGTATTTTTATTTATTTATTAAGGAAATATGTACTTTAGGTTATATATTATATATTATATATACAGTATATATTATATATGTAGTATATATTTTATATATTTTTACTGCAACCGCCAACCACAAGAAGACTCAAGAGCCCACTCTCAATGAGTGTAGACAGCCTGCTGCTACCTGCTGCTGCTCTGCTAATCATCAGATGGGGGGAGGAGAGGAGGTGTTGTCACGACTTCCTCCGAAGCTGCCTCCTCTCCTGGTTCGGGCAGGCTTCGGCGTTCGCCGTCACCGGCCTTCTAGCCACTGCCACTCCTCATCTCATCATTCCATTTGTTTTGTCTTGTTTATTACACACACCTGGTTCATATCCCCTCGTTAGTACTTGTATAAGTGTTCCCTCTGCCCCCTTGTGTGTGATTGTTTATTGTGAGGAGAGTGTAGCTCAGTTGAGCGCCGTGTATTTTGTATTGCAGGGGGTATTTTTTCCCTGTGTGCCTGTTTAGTTCTAGTGCGCCTGTTTTGCGCACTGGACTGTTTGACGCATTTCTGCGTAACTCTGTATTCCGGAATAAATTATGTATTCTGTGATTTACCCTCCTGCGCCTGACTCCTTCAAATCACCCATCACAGAATCACACACCCGCCATGGAGTCAGCAGGAGAGGAGCGCATGCCTGGAGTCGTGGCACGGGTCCAGGAGCATTCGACGATGCTAGCCAGCTTGGGAGAATCTTTCGGGACCAGCTGGGCGACCGGATCCAGCCACCCACACCCCAGCACCCAGAGGGATCCATATATCCCGTCTACGGGATTTCGACGGGACAGCTGCTCTCTGCCAGGGATTCCGCCTCCAACTGGAGCTTTACTATTCCAGCATCAGCCCGGCCCCATCGGAGCAGGAGAAGGTGTCCGCCCTCATCTCCTGCCTCTCGGGGAAAGCCCTGGAGTCGGCCTACACGGTCTGGAATGAAGGAGGAGCCGCGTTGGACAACTACGGGGAGTTCGCTCGCCTCTTTCGGGCTGTCTTCGATCACCCACCCAAGGGTCGAAAGGCGGGTGAGCGGCTGGACCACCTGAGGCAGGGGACGAGGACCGCGCAGGACTTCTCCCTGGAGTTCCGGACTCTAGCAGCTGGGTCCGGGTGAAATGAGCGGGCCCTCATCGACCACTTCAGGTGCCATCTACGGGAGGACGTCCGAAGGGAGCTAGCCTGCCGGGACACCATGTTGTCCTTCACTCAACTGGTGGACATGGCCATCCGGTTGGACAACCTGCTGGCGGCCAGAGGACGTCCTAGAGGGGGCCTGCCCATTCCAACCCCGCCCGACCCGGATCACGAGCTGATGGAGCGGCGATCCGGGAGAGCGGAGGATGACAGCGCTGGAGGCAGCAGGCAGGGCACTTTCGCGACACCCCAGGTATCGAACACCCACACTCGTTCAGAGCCCTCTGCTGCGCACTGTACCCTACCCATCCACTTTCCTGATTACATTGTAGTTCCCCAGTGTAAAGCGCTGGTCGATTCAGGCGCAGCTGGGAACTTTATGGACAGGTCATTTTCACACAATCTAGGCATTACATTGGTTCCCCTATCCATTCCATATCAGAGCACTTGACAGTCGACCATTAG